GGTTTTAAGAAATTCAGTATTCATTTCCTTTAATGAAAAAAATCTCTAGTTTTCATTCTTGTTTCTCTTATCAATTAGAAATCATCTAATTAAAACTTCAAGTTATTGTCTATCAAAATTTGCCTGTGCCCTTACAAGATCTATTTGTTAATTATGATAAAGCCTTTGTTTATTTGCCTAAAGAATGATATTTTGTGCAAGTCTTTGTTACAGAAATTAAATTCATACTGCATGTTTCTCCCTCCAGTATAAATTAAAAGCATTCCAAATCTTTGAGTATTTATCCACTAGTAGTTCCTTCTCTAGATCTGAATTTTTGGACACTTTTTAACACTGATTCACATGATTTAATATTTATTGGTCAAATTAAAAGCTTTACAATGGCATTTTAGACAGGGTTCGTACACATTTCTGCACATGGAAATTAAGTACTTTTAAGGACTTTTAAGGACCATTAATGAAAAAATTAAGGACCTATGAGCAAATAGCAAATTTATAAATTCAATTAAAAATATTATCTATGCCTGAACTTCACTTTTGTAATACCATCCAAAAAATAAAATACATCCACAAGTAGGCTACATTATTATTAAACATAACTTAATTAACATTAATTATTAATAAGTTTGAGAATAAAATACACTTTATGAAATTTATCAAATATCATTACATATTTTACACTTGTAATAGTTCGGTATATTTGAAAGAAGATAAGTGACATTTTATTTACGTTTTACCAATAGTTTCATACTGATTTTTTAATGTCTCATTTTGTCACATACTTGCTCAATCTGGAGGTTTAGTAAATAGGAGGTAGATTTTATGTCAAGCGGGATTGGTTAAAATGAGAAGTAAAATCAGAATGATTTATAACAAAAGACTGGCTGTTGTGACCACTGCTCCTTGCCTACAGAGACACCTGCTGATCAGAACAAAACTGAAAGACCTGATGTGGGCACAGTTGGCATGTTTTGAAAGTTAGTTGGGCTCTGTCTGATGCAATTAGTGTCGTAGCTTCGTGTAGAGTTCCAGCGGTTGTAACCCACTTAATATACTTTAAGATTTAATATACTTTAAGGTTTCAATAAGCCACTAAAGCACTAGAAGTGATACTAAGTTGCTTTGTATTATTTCAGGTCTCGCTAGATATGAAGAATAAGTTTTATATGAATTTTTACATTTTTGTGTTTTATCTTGTACTATGATAAGGTTTAATGAAAGGCAATAACTCGCTTTAATATGATAGATATTTTTAAGGGTAAGCAGTTAGTTATAAATAATTAAATTAGGTAGTTAGATAACCTTAATCATTATGGATTTACATGACCACTATTAAATTTTACTTATTTAAGAATATTTCTTAAAAAGCCCTATTAAAATCACAATCTAATAAAATTTCACAGTTTAAAATACATGCAATTTATGCCATTGATATTAGGATAATTATACATTGAAAGCTACAAAAGATTTATGTTTTATAGCAACAACCCTCAACAAAACATTTATGAGTCTTTTTAATTTAAAGCCTGACCAGACATTTTGGCTAATTTACATAGATTTCCCTTTCTTTAAGCATCTTTTCTAAGAATTAGAAATTTCTCTCTATATGCAAACCATTGTTCTCACTAGTTTCTGCGTACTTTATCTCCTAACTTGTCAACCTCTCCACAATGTACCTATGGGGGTTTACTTGATCTGGTAAAAGTTAAATAGTTCAAAACCCCCCGATAGACATGAAGTAAATTATTGCTAAGTCTGAAAGTAACTACAAAGGTTTAAATAAGCCTCTTATTTAAAAAGAACTTAAAGGCATGGTCTTATGCTAACAAAATCAATTGCAACTTGTGGTGATGTTATTAAATAAGAATGGTCAAATTCAAACAAAAAATGTGGACCAGTGGTCAAAGACTATACAATTTAATTTAAATTTAAGCTGGCTCAGTAACTCTATTGTCATAACAAATTCAAATGTCAGCAGTAATAATGCAGAAAAAATATTAAATTATCAGAGTTGGCAGGAACTAATGCAGTGAGCAAGCAGAGATTAAAAACATTCTGCCTTGCGCACCAAAAACCTCAGTTTAAAAACTAAAAACTGTCTAAGTCATTTGCATTCTGGGGAGGAAATAGAAATGGGAAATTATAGTAAAGGCTGAAATTATAAACAAGCGAGTATTAATTTAATATAATATCTGTATATATATTTGAAGAATAATTTTCTTTCACTGTATGTATTTAGTTTTTTTATTCAACACGCTTCCTTTTCATTTTAGAATTTTTGAATTTGTTATTCCAAAAAAACTAGATGCATTTAGAATGTATAGAAAAAGCTGCTAATTTTATTTCTTTAGTAATACAAACATTCAGAAGAAATATGAAATATATATGGTAAATTCCGGTTACAGAGCTGGTGTGGCAGAATTTTTAGAATTTGGTGACACACCGAGCAAAAAATCTAGACATGGCAAAACTTTTAGAATTTAGAGCAGTCACTGGAAGCAGAATTTTGAAAAGCACACTAGTCAGCAAAATTTTGGATCTACAAAGATAAGTTTAATGTTCCACATGATTGCACCAGGTGAGGCAATGCCTAGCATCGAACCTGTGCATGATGCATTAAGACAAATTAGATTAATCTTTTAAAACTGCCAGCTTCAAATTTCTTTATTAATCAAAAAATTCCTTTCTATAATGCCTCTCCATGTGATACTATTAGAAGCATTTTCAATATTTTCCATGCTTGTATCTAGTGAAAAGTAGAGAAAATAAAGGGAAGACTAACACATTAAGAAAAAGATTCTAGTATCAGAAGTAAAACATTCAAATATTATGTTTTTCATTGTTCTTCTAGATGTTCTCCAAAAAGTAAGAACTTCATTGCAAACTTTCTGTAAAATACACCCATTACATGTTAATACCATAGAGATCTCTTTCATTTTGTCACATTTTTCTAGAATCTTCTAGAATCGTGGGTCTATAAATCTTGCTTTCAAACCCTTCTAAACTTTCCAACTTGCATCGTTCTTCAAGTTGTAATGTCTAATGTCCCGAAGCAAAATTACCTCTACTAATTTTGTAACAGCAAACAGCCAGAAATATTTTTTTAAAAAAATCACAGGAAAAATGTGTAAAATTAATTTTATAGAGAAAACTGATGCATAAGAATTCTGAATATTCTGAGACAATAACATGAGAAAACTCTTATCATGGGAAAATTAAAAATAAGATAATTTTAATTAATTACATAGCTATTTTGCTTTTGCTAAGAAATGTTTCGTAAATCGTGCTTTATAGCATTATACGTTGTTTATTTTTCAGATTCAAAATATAATAAGTGATATAATATAAGTGATAAGTTTTCAGATATAATAAGTGGCCAAAATAGAACTTTATAATATGACAACAAAAAATAAAATTGTTACATTTTAATGTTAATTTTTAAATATAATTTCAATATATTACCATTATTTCAATGAAATTTATGAATGTTACAATGTTTGAAAAAAAAAATCATAGAAAAATTCCCAGGTCTTGGAATTAAAAAATTTACTATAGAAATTGATCTTAAAAACCACCAAAATGTTGATAAATTGCCAAATTTAGAGCTGTTCAATAAAAGAATTCACATCTCCAAAAGAGAAAAGTTGTTTAAGATCTCTTCATTAGAAAAAGTGAAATAATTTCTAAAAGCTTATGTTTCACTTCTTGCTCAAAAACTAGAGTATCCCACATTTACATTAGAAATAGGAAAAAATTATAACCCATTCAAAAGATAACCATATTTATCAATGAATAGCCAAAAATATACCTCCAAAATGCTAATTCACACTAAAAAATGGCAGTCGTAAAAACGGACAGAAATTTCACAATTTTAAAATTAAGGACATTCTGACGATTTTGGCCGAAATTAAGGACTTTTAAGGATCAAAAATTGATTCCAAAAACTGAAGGACTCTTAAGGACCGTACGAACCCTGTTTAGAGCACATCTTTCAGAAAAGCTAAACCTTCATTGACAATTCTCTCAATTTTAACCCAAAATTATAATATCATTTGATTTCATCGAAGTCTTCCATGTTAATGTAAACTGACCAATTTTAATCAAATTTTCATTTTCTTTTAAGATGATACAAGTACAAAAAATGTAAAAGAATTAAACAGTACCAATTACCAGTTATGCACTAAAGGTAGCTGGATGAGTGTACATAATTTGCTTAAGAAGAGACTTTCATAAATTAATTTCCATAACTGTTTAGGAATGCATATTATAAAAAATTAATTGCAGCAGCTCAAACTTTTAGCACTAAATATAAATATCTAAAATGTCTAAAAATGCATCGGAAACTTTTCAATCAAAATCTTATAACAGTAATTCATTAACACATTAATGAATGAAATTTCAGTTATCACAAATAATACAACTTATTGAAATTTAAAATGCATGTATAACTAATATTATATACTTAAAACTTGACATAATCTGAAGTGATCAGAATTTCTTGTAATTATTAATATCTTTTGTTATTTAATTTGTACAGATTTACTGTAATCTTACATTCTTTAGAAATCTAGGCAACAGAAACTGGCAAATTTTAGTTTAAAAAATGACTGGATTAATTTACATAATCACAGAAGATGATATTTAATAGAATATCGGCAATGCTTGTCCATTCCAAATTAATAATAATGTATAAATTTACATCAATTGAACCTGTTAATAGTTAAACAAATGCCCATTACTCTACAGAAGTGTCAATCAAGATTTATCAAAAATAAATCATAGCCAAGGAAAAGGATTGAGTAATTTTTTGAAGTGATAATCAATATCTTTCTAACTAAGCAAAACTGCTAATCATTGTATATTGAAATATAATACCAGCTGAAAACTGAATTAATATGCTTATGTAATACTATACTTCAGTAAAATATGCAACTGAATACGTATTCAAACATACCTCTCATCAAAAATGTATATATACATTGACATGAATGACAAAATCATAATTGCATAAATAATTTATTTAACAATAGAAAACAAATCTTGGTCATTCTGTGCACTTCTATTTTACATTAATTTTACATGCACAATATCTATGCAATTCAATCATATACAAAATAGTTGAGCAGATGCTTACTCTTATTTCTCAGCATCTCATTCCATTAATTGATGCTTATTATTCTCAGCATCAAGTTAAGTTTAATGATAAAAATTTATAGACATTTTTAAACATTTTGTATTTAAAGAACAGAATGCTCAAATAGCATTTAATGACTGAAATTTTTTTCAAATATTTCCATTTAGGGAAAAAGCCAACTAAAAAAATTTCGTTGTAAGAACTGTTTAAATTTTTAGTAGTCATTCTTGACCACTCAAAGAAAGCTTATTTAAAACTTTGAAGGGCTAATGATAACAAACAAGTCTCAAAAGTATTTACAAATATATATATATATATATATTCCATAAATCTGCACATAAAAATCTAAAGCTCATGCATTATGCAAAAAAGTTTCAAAACCAGGAAAACTAAAATATTCCATAATATGATTTTTAAAGACTAAATGTTCTTAAATTTTATACAAGAGAAACTTGTTCATGCAAAATATGTTAACCCCAGACATTTACTGATTTTACATCAGGCCAATCATTTTCTTTCTCTTTTTCTACAATTAATTCTATAACTGGGATTCCTTCACTTTTGCTATCTTCAGTTATCAGACTCACTTCTTTAATTTCAGGAATTTCATCAAAGGTAACTAAAAAAAAAAATAGAGTACATGAATTTCTTCATTTAATGAAAAAAAGAATTAGTCATTCATATTACAGATCTCTGACAAAACAAATGCTTGTATAAATTAATTATCACAGTAGTGGGAAAAAAACCACCATTTACAGTACTTACATTATACCATATTTTCTCCTTTAAGCAATTTTATAGTCTGAAAATTGAAAGGGAAAATTATGCCAATCATTTAATTTCTGAAGGATGTGGTTACAGCAAGAACATAAATGAAAAGTAGTCATGGATAAACTACACATAACTACCACAATATTATGTCTTTAAAAGAAACCTATATTCCAATAAGAATATAAAATAATATTAACATTATAATAGCTAATTAAATCTTCATTTAGACTTCCTTGAGACATGAATCTCATCCATTCTTCTAGTTGTCTCCTATACTTTATGCTTCAAATCATAAATAGAGAAGGTAAATGTGCTGACGAGTCAGAAATCAATGACAAGGTCAGATTGTGTTTGCTTCACTGTGAGTAATCGGTTTTCATATTAGGCTGGCAAATAAAGTTTAATGCACTAAACCCATGCTAAACATGGACATGCAGGATGAGGTTTTGTACATAAGCATTATCTAATTGTCTTCATTTAATTTGTCCAACACAGGAAGCATTCACTCAAGTTAAATATTGCTTAGAACAGCAAAACTCAAGTTTTAAGGTTCATGGACCTCTTACAAATTGCAAAAGCAACACATTGAAGAATTTACAGATACGGAAGGGAAAAAAATTAAACAACAAGTCAAAAATGATGATTGTGAAATGACACAGAACTGGATGATTTTATTAAGCAGCCAACGGTGAAAGCAACGATAGTGAAGAAGAGTCTTCAAGATATAAGAAGTTAAACGAATTTTTAAGAAAGGTGCAGGTACCATCTAATTTTGTAATCAAGATTCACACAAATGAAGAAAGAAGGCATGATAGACATTGAAAACTTCGCACTCCTTACCATGAAACTTTTAAAGAGTTGCATTAGTCATTGTTCAAAGCTAAAATCAATTACAATATTTCTTTAATTTATACTTTTATAATAATATACTTCTATATATTCATATACTTTTATATTATAATTTGTACTTTTATAATAAATTGAGTAATAAACCTTTTTCCCCCCATAGAAAGTTAACTTTGTAGAAAGAAATTTTACGTACACATAATGTGTTAATGACAATCATTTTATATAATTGCAGTAAATTAAACCATTTTATAAAACTGCAGCAAATATTAAGTCTGCATTAACATACAAAGCTTTCAATATAATTGATCTCAGTAAATCCCTTCTAAAACAAACTATTTTTAAATCAATAAATTTAAAAGTTTAGTATTAATTGTCAATACATATAATTAGACTAATTATTCTTAAAAAAGGATAATATATATCACAACTTGCACGCTTAAATACAATCAAAAATTAAAACTGTACTTTTTGCAAATCGAAGAAAAACAATTAAAAATTCTATAAAAAAATATTTTTGAACCATAGTTATTAAATAAATATAAAATTTCTATTTAAAAATAAACATAAACTTACCAGTTTTTTGCTGCCCTTCATTAGATCTATTTGAAACTGGAACACCACGTCCTCTAAGCCCTCGACGCATCCCTCCTCTAAAACGACGCCGTCGGAACCACGAATTGCTTGCTAAAGTACCAAACGTCTCAACATTTAATTTCCGTTCATTCCTCCAATCATATCGAGGCAAACTGTAATAAAATGAAATATTTATATTTCAAAACTTTTATCAAAAGAATTTCTTAACACAATAAATTACAGTCTTACCCCTTAATTCGCTGAGTAGCTTCACAGCTAATATCATCAAAGAAAGATTTATTTTTGTCGTATCCAGGAATATTTTCTTCAAATGCTGAGAGAGGTTCTATTGTATCATCTAATAAAACATGAAAAAAGTTAATGATTTTAAAGACAATTGAGAAAACTAATCTTTTATAGTAATGTCAAACAAGTCATATTATAAACACAAGGCTATCCAAATATCAAACACACACTTTTAAAAATTGGGAAAATTCCAAAAGGAACATCAATGGAAAATTATTTCAATGGATAACATCTCTGTACAATTAATTTATCACTTAAAATTTCAATTGTAGTTTATGTTGTTAGCTTTAAAAGCCATTTATTTTCTACAAGATAAAAATAAATTTTTCCAAAAGGGGGAAAAAAGAAGATTCAGCATTACTTCACAAGGCATTCTTATGGAAACGCTATTAAATCACTCAAAAAGACCTTAAATGTTTGTGAACCAAACAAGTCCATGATTTTACTTTTGCTAACCTGACTGACAAACTGTAAACCATAAAAAATTATGCAATGTCTCCACATGCCTCTTCCAAGCCCCGACAAAAATGGACAAAGTCGGGAATAAACATTAGCAATCACCAACAAAGAATATGAGAAAGATGGTATCACAATCAAATTTACACATTGCAAAGTTATGCTCGATCATAAAATTTCATTTTGCTTGGTAGAAACTGTTCTCAGTCTTGCACCAAGCAAATTTTTTTTTAAGCTAACAGCATAGATTACAATTGATATTTCAAGAGATATTAAATCCTATCCATTAAATCCAAGAGGATCCTATCCATTAAAACAACTGGCCATTAATATCCATTTTGAAAGTGATATATACAACTTTTGGATTATCCTGTAATAAATCCAAAAGGTTAACATGAATGTATAATATCGAAGAAAATCATGAAAAACTGAACCTATGTTTTCAACAACGATTTTTCATACCATATATATATTTGATCAGCTACATCAATAAGAGAAAATGAACATTCTAAAATTAATCCAATTTTTTCATATTTAATGCATCAAATACCAACTTGAAGCAATAAGTTTCAGTACTAAATGACAAATGAAATACTTTTATATTGCATAGTATAAATACAACAGTAATTTTATCACAAAAAAAAAAAATGATAAAATTCACATAGCAACTGTGGGACAAATCTTAATTTTTAAAATATTCAAGATATGTATATGAATAATGACTAAAAATTTCCTGGCTACTGGGTATTCACATTAGCATTTCCTAAAATATGCATTACATAGCATAGATTTGCAATTTAGCAATAAAAATTAAATGTAATGTAATTTAAAATATACATAGTTATTAATAAATTACATTTTTATAATTATAAAATTTTATATAATTCCATTATAATTAAATTACATTTTTAATCAATTAAATTTTTGTACTGTAATTAATGACATTTGAGATCAAACTTTCAATTAACATGGTAACTGGATATGCATGTAAATTCAATGTCTAATAAAAAATTAATTCATTTAAACATATACCGATGTTCTATGAAGAATATCAGTGAATGTTTAAATGTGTAACATGTTTGCAATTAATAGCATGTTTTAAAATTTAGAAAAGTAGACATGCTGCTGCTCATTGGCATTAAAAAGTACTTTTAGAACACATTTTCTAATATTTAAGGAACTCTAGCGTAACGGAAAATAAAAAGTTTAATTTCCAATTTGGATTTTAGAACAGAATTATTTTACAGAGCACTTTTCGCATAAACTTTAAAGGGAGACATAATTTAAATTTGAAAAATAAACCAAGAACATAAATAAACAAAAAATCCTAATTTGTTAGTATGTTCAATATTCACATAAAATGTCAAAAAGTTTAAAATTGTGGAAATTTTTGCTGTGATAAAGTATTATATTTTTAGAGAGCATTTAATATTTTTCAGTATATACACTTTAGTGCAACTTACAAGACATTAAGAATGATATATTTATTATGCCATGTATTGTATTTTTTTCCTTTTAATTGTTGTATTTTTATACAAGGGAAAATATTAAATCTAACCTTTGAAAAGCCAGCCATATTTATTGAATTAACTGAACTTATTATTCATCAAAATCATTAGAGATTACTAGAATGGACTTTTATAGTAACTGTAATCTGAAATTAGACAATTTTTATACACATATGTATGGAATCTATTCTGCATTATTTTACAGTTATAAGAACTACATGGTTAAGCTTTTGTAATAATAGATATCGATTTCGCAGGTTCATCAATTGTTGATTCTTCATTAAGCAACTGAACAACCATAGTTGTCAGGATGTATTTTGTTCAAGGATCAGAGTTATAAAGAAAATGCAGGAGGAGAGGAAGAATAGAGAATACCGTGTTTGATTGCAGAACATTTAACAGTTAAAAAGGATGGATTTTATTTCTAGAAATTAAGTTTTAAATAAAGAGCATAGAAAAGAATGGCTAGTTCATACAGCTTTTGCACCTGAAACAGAAATGAGAAGCGATGGCGTATTTATGGTAAATACTGAGCGTGGAGATGCAATTCATAACACACAAATTAGTGTTTAAAATTTGAATAACCAGCATTTAAAATGAACTATGTGTGAAAGATGGCTATAATATGAAAGAGACAATGTTATTGTTGTATGCATTTTAAACTGAACAATAAAAAAATTAATACTTACTCAATTTTAAAATAACAGACAAAATGAGCGAATCTTAACATAACGTTCCCTTCTTTTTAATGCATGTTTATAATCATTTCTTTATCCATATGCTAACAGAGATTTCTATTACTGTTTCTAAAATAATTATTGGGTCATATTAAAAGTCTCTGCGGTTTTTGGTACAATTTTTAACAAACATTTTTCTTTATTGGAAAATCAAGTACATATTGATCATTATATGCGAGGTACGGGCAGAGATTTTTTTTTTTTTTTTTTTTTTTTGTCGCCAAGAAAGATGCCTGCTGCAGTCATTCACCAGCAGATTTGTGAAGTTTACAGAGCTACTACCATAGCGAAGTGTATAAGTGAGTCAGACTTCAAAGCTGGCCGCAACAATGTTCATGACGAGTCCTGTCGTCCATCTGTTATCACATATGATGGAATGGCTTCAGTTGAAGTGAAAATTCTCGAGAACAGACTGTTCACCATAAGCACTCTTTCAAACGAATTTCCTAAACTGTCCAACTCAGTGCTGTACAAGATTGTTTCTGTTAAGATTTAAGAAACTGAGTTTCCGTTGGGTCCCTAAACTCCTAACTAAGGACCACAAAAACAAAAGATTTGAGTGTTTGCTGAATTTTCTGACTCGTATCAGGAAAAAGGTGGCGCATGTTGAGTCGGATCATAACAGGAGACAAAACGCGGGTTTCACATGTCACGCCCAAATAGAAACGACAGAGCATGGAGTGGAGACGCACACATTCTCCTGTAAGGATCAAGGCCAAACAGACTCTGTCCCAGTGAAAGATCATAACGTCCATGTTTTAAGTTAGGCATGGCGTTTTGTTGGTCGACTTCATGCAATGTGGAACCACCATAGATGTGGTAGCCTACTGTCAAAACCTGCGAAAGCTACGCAGAGCGATTCGAAACAAAAGACTCTGCATGCTGACAGAAGGAATTTTGCTGCTCCATGATAATGCAAGGCTTCACACTACACTTCAAACCACAGCTTTATTGGATTCTTTTGGCTGGGAAGTTTTTGACCACGCCCCCTACAGCCCAGACCTTACACTGAGTGATTTTCATCTTTTCCGCTATCTCTAACATCATATCGGTGGCAACCACTACAACGATGACAAAGACATGAAAACTGCTGTGACCTTGGTTATCGGAGCAGGCGGCAAGTTTCTATGAAAACAGTATTCAAAATCTAGTTATTAAGATATGATATGCGATTTTAAACGAACTTGGCAACTATGTTCAAAAATAGATAAACGTATATAGAATCTTGTTTTAAAATAAAACCAGCTTGGGCTTGTTTTAAAAAAAAAATTTGGTTTTTGAAAATTTTCTTCCATTTGGTTTTTATTATCAAACGGCCTTTACTTAAAAATATCCCCCCCATCATAGATTATTTAAAAAATAATTTTGTAACTTATACTTACACCTATATTATATTTAAATAAATATATGCAAGTTTGTTATCTTAATTTTGACAAAACAACTTCACTCTCAGTACTTAAAAATTAATTATTTTTATTTTCCCTTCTCTAGCAATGCATTAATTTGAAAATACGCTTTAAATGTTTTTCCGGACTCTCTGACCTATGCTTTTTTTTCTAAATTTCACCAATTGATATTTTAGTTTCTATTACAAATTTCTTTCTAGATGTCGTCCACCTTCTTTGTTGTTGAGCAAACGCACTAAAATTTTTCTATTCTTTATTTTTCAATACTTTAATGCAATCTTCCAAAGATATTTTGTTCTTCAAAATATCAATGCGTTCTTGTTTATCTTTACACTTAGGGCATTCAGGGATATTGTCATTTAAGTCATTTACATTGTCAGTTTTATTTCAAAATCATTCACATTTGATTTATTGTAATCAATTTCGTTCTTTGAGCTTAATTTGTATAGTCTTTCAAAAGCACTTTGCATCAGTTTTCTCTTCTCTTGCCTCTGATTTCTTGGTGTTAGTTTTCTGCACATGATAAATTTATTTTCTGCACAGCATTACATTTAAACAGCTTCTTTTGCAGCAATCCAAATAAGCAATTTTTCATGTTATCTTCATACTCACTGCATAGAAAATGTTTACTCCAAATTCCTTTTCAATCTTTTTTTATACTTGCTGGCAAAGTCTGCAAAATATACATTTGAAGCTTGTTTTAACAGTTGCCTCTAAGTGCACCAGAACTGTAACCTCAATCCAAATTGTTTACTTGTGGTTTACATAATAATGAATATAAAAAAGGCAAATTATTTTAAAGCCCACTATATTTTTCCACACCTTATTGCTAGATTAACAAGATTAGCTTATAATTCTAAAAGCTTCATGAACATTCATAAGCTACAGTTAATTTTAAATTTAATTGCTCTCAACATTATCCTTCAAAGTGATGATTTTTACAAGAACTTTGATATTTTTCTTAAATAGTTTTAGAAAAATAAACGTGAAAATTAATTTTTTGTAAATATTTAAAGATAAACTGGATGCATAACAATTGAGATATAATTAAAGAAAATACTAAATGGCTAATATAAAAATTATAAAATTCTGTATGCTTTAGAGATTATATTTAAGCAATTTTAAGCATGCTTATCGGAAACATTGAAAGAAAACTTTTATACCATTTACCTATCTTATGCCTAGCCAATTTGCTTTCAAGTTCTTGAAATTCTGCATTAGCTTGTTCAAAATCAAATTCTCCATCAAATTTTAAAGTATCTATATTGGTAGAGCCACTTCTGCTTCTGGTATTACGTGGGATATCTATATAATAAATTAAAAAATTTACAGTTTTAAAACAATTCATAATATACTAAAATAAATCATTATTAGACTTTTAGAATAATAAAAAATATTATGCAATCTTTACTTCGTCTACTGCTTTGTTGACGACGGTTTCCTGGTGGTAATCTTCTTTGCTGTTGAAACTGCACTCTATTATCACGGTTTCTCTGCTTTTCTTGATTTCTAGGATCTCTGTACGACTGATTCTCATCTGTAGAACCTACAGATACTTGAACACCTGCATCTATTGTTGGACTTTTCCTCTGAGAAGGTGTTGCAGATCGAGATCCTTTTAAAATTACAATTATTCTTAACTGAAAATTTAAGTTTGTAACAGCTATTGTTTGGTTTCAAAAAGAATTTAAGAATACAGAATGGCAATTCCAATGTAATTTAAACTTCAAAGGTAAATTTTGTAACACATTAAAAATATTAGATACATTTAATTGATAATCAATATAAGGAGATGAAATATATTATAGCAAGTAGCAACATAATTAGCATTAGAAAATTTTTAAAAAATTCTCGATATATTTTGCTTTGTGAAAGTAATGGATTAAATTTTTACTTCATCAAGTTAAATTATTTAAAATTTTACACATTACCTTCTTTATAATAAAATACTTAAAAAATTAAAATAAAAAAAAATCAATCAAAATTACAAATTTTAAACTGTTATATGCAAATATTATTTAATAACAAGTATCGTTTTAAACATTTTCGGACAAAGACATTTATATCCTCTTACGACATAAAAAAGCTGGTATTTTTCTATCAAGTACTTGCTATACAGTTTAGCAGGTTTTTAAAATGTAAGCACAGAATTAAATGTGTTAAATGAAATGCACACATACACATATATACTTCTAGTTTAGTAAAGCAGTTAACCTCTTGATTAATATATACCATTTAAACTAAAACTGAAAAACTTTAGTACCGTCACTACATATTACAGTGAATATTTTGCCATTTGCACAACCCATTAGCTATTTGTATTAAATACACACACATAAAAAATGTTAGATCAAAAATTGGGCATTTTAATTATCAAAATTTAAGTTACAATATTTTAATTCTAAAATTTAATGCAACATTTGTGCCTGTTTAAGAGAGATCGTTTCCTTATGTCTAGTCTTATTTCACTTGATTTTAACCATAAATTACAATAACTTAACTTTGTTCTGTCTTTATTTTTCAAATAAATCCTTGTTAGCATAAATAGGTTAGGCAAAAAGGAAATAAAAATTTAATAGCTTTATTTTAAATGCCTTTAATTTTTTTTTTTTTTTTTTTTTTTTTTTTTTGGGGTTCAGACAAAAGTTAACAAATGTTACTTTTTAAAATCTTCAGTTTGGAGTTTGATTACAGGAAATTTCTATCAACTGTTCTTTTTCTTTGCGAGAAAATTTCAGGTACATTTGAACAAAATAGATTTCTATTCCAATTTCCTTTTTCATTATTCTTGGGAAAATGCATATTGAAATTATTTATTAACGAAAACCAATGATTTTTAATGTCAGATGCTAATTCTTTTATTTTCAAATTATTTTCAATCAGAAAATTTTCTAAAAGTAGTAAAAAGCTTAAAATACTATCTAGAGCTAATAAAATTTATTATTAGCTCGGGTTTTCTTATCATTGCATTTAATTTACCTGTAATTATAAACAAATTAACACTTTGTCCTTGTAATCCTAAATTTAACTTTCCAAAAATATCAGCTAAATATGATAAACATGCCAACTACACTGCTGGTAATTAAAATTGCAACACCAGGAAGGAATGATCTGAGAAACATCAAAATTACAAGAAAGGAAGAAGAGGTTGGGATATGCCAATGATTAGCATTTCAGCGCATTTAGATGACGCAGGAAGGGGAAATGAGATCTGAAGCACTGCATAAAAGAAAAGTTGTGCAGTAGATTTCTTATTCGGAAAGCACTACGCAAGGTTGGAGTTTGCTAAGAATATAGTGTTATGCCTCAAATAAAAAGAAATGGTTACCACCAAGTGTCAAAATTTGATACAGGCAGGATTGTTGCCTATTGAAAGTGTAGACTGTAGTTCTGTGATATCGCTTGTTGCAATGGTAAACATCCAACCACTGTCATGCGAATATGGAATCAGTGGGTTGCTGAGTGTTGTACTGAACGCCATGCAAAATCTGAACGTCCAAGAGGTCAGATTATTGCAAGGTCAGCACTGGGAAAAAAAAAAAAAAAAACACATTCACATCACTGACGATTAGTCAGAAAATAGGCATATTTGCAGCACACCCAGTATCTGCTCGTATGGTGTGGATGTTTACAGCAGCATAGACTAACAGAACGACGACCATTACTTTGGCTTCCTTTGACAATGCAGCACAGAGATGGCTACTCTGGTACTGCGTGGCACAATGTCGTCTTTTAAGACAAGTCCTAGTTTTGCATGCAATATTCTGATGGCCATATACAAGTCTAGATTCTACAAGGAGAACACACATCGCCTGCTCGCATTTGATATCGGCATAGGGGCCATGCACCTGGTGTGATGGTTTGGGCAGCCATTCGATACACGACACGCACATCTCTAGTTCGGATCGATGGTAATTTGAACACAAATTGGTACACTTCTGATGTCCTGTGGTTGTACGCTATCTTAGAAACCATCTGGCCATTGATTGCGGAGAGACTGGCCCCCACCCCTCTGCACCTAATATGGTTGATGAAGTGTGGCATAGACTTGAAGCAGCATGAAATGAGTTGCCCGTTTCTGTCACCCAAGCTCAGTTTCATTCCATGCCTAACCAAGTAAGGGCTGTTTTAGCTTCCAGGTATGGCAACTGTTTCTACTAATTTTGCACCCATGTAAACCTCCAAAATGCTTACAAATTTAATAATTTTATCTTCATGCCATAATGATTACATACAATAAATACCTTTTTTGTATTTGCTTTCCTTGCACAGGAATATTTTCCTGTAAAGCCTGAGCTCCATCACTGCATAAGGCAATGCATTTATTCCAAGGAATATCATTCCCAGACATAAAATTGTCAATTACTTTGAAAACTTCATTTGTAATTATTTTATCATAAAGTTATTTACAAAATAAATACTCTTTGGCTATTTTAGTTTGAAGTTTATCTTCTTCGAAAGGTATGTAAACTAATAATGAACAAAGTTCATAATATCAGTACTTTTATCCACTAGCAATGAAAAATACTCACTGTGTTTTATTTTTTAAATAAGTATCTAATTTTATTAAATTTGTCATTTCATCAATTCATCGACTTACCATATCATTTGATAATGGAATGCGATTAAGTTCATTAACCGCTTTTTTGTTGAATAACGTTAAAATAATATCTTTGATAATGTTTTCTCCAACACCGTGAGCCTGCCCAGTCTTGGCAATTCTTAGGCTCACTAGGTAACTAGCTTTCAGAGCTTTTTAAATTGAAGTAACAAAAACCTTTTAGTACTTATTTACCATTTTGAATGCTGACAATTTGCTCTAAAATATTCTTCAGGTTTATTTTTTTAAATTGGCATGCTTAGATTCAAGATGTCTTAAAGAAACAATGTTTCATATTTTGATTGGATAATTCACCACAAACTAAACACACAGGTTGAGGGTCATTCCAAGTAAACCCAAATGATAACTTTCATTATCTTTTCTATAAACAATTTTTCTTTTCAGTATTCTTAGTTCTAGTAGATAGTCCTGGATTCATCATCTGTGAATCATCACTTTTTCACTTAAACAGTCCTAGCAATTTTTCCATTTTGTAAAATTTAGGTTGGTTTTATTTTTTCACAAATATTTAAATGCACAGTATATTAAGAGTTCTTAAAAAACAAATGATGATATTCTCAAATCACGTAGAAAAGCAAGGAGCACAAAACAGGAAAACAAAATACCTGCTGTTAGAGATAACAAACAGATGTAAAGAAAAAAAGATTCCAATTCAAAATAGAGCAATACGAGCCCAAAAATGGTGACATCATAAAGTGTCAGTGTGCTAATAAATTGATCAACTCTAAAAAAATTAATGAGATACTATTATCTTTTATAGGAACTTATTTTCATTTCCTATTAAATACAACATCCATTTCTATAACACCTTTTAAAAACATTTACAACAAATTTTGTTATGTCTATGACTAAAGGAGTATTTAAGAAAATTTTGCTGGAATCTGAGCGACTGTTGACCTTGAACAAAGCATAGATCGCATAAATTTACGAGTCTTGGAGAAAAAACTTAAAAAAAGATGTTGGGGTATTTAATTTTTTAATTTAATATTTTTAAATATTTTGTTCCTTTGCCACCTATTTTCTTCTTAGATGCCACCAGTAGTATGCATACCACTGATTGAGAATCGCTGATTTAGTCCCTAGATGACAATATCATTGGGCCTTGCAATGTGTTCCGTTTCTCTTTCACAAGCACCAAAAAGTGTGCATAACAGAAAAGAACCCCAAAAGACTTTAAAAGATTACATAATTTACCAGAATTTTACGTGAAAAATTCTTAGAAATGTTATGTATCTAATTAAAAAAGAAGTCATTACTTTCATTATGTTATACAAAATTTATTGCTAGTTAATATAAAGAATTTTTCTCAAGAATATACTCAATATCTAACAAAATTTTAAATGTTTAAAAAACAGCTTAAATTTTAAATGTACTTCCAAGTAACTGGCAAGCCCTGAAGTTATCAGTTGTAATAATTAATACTTATAGTACCCGCTCGATGCATTTATTTTAATACACTTTTAAAGCCCACCAGCAGCCAAGCAGTAAAGTCTCTGAACACTGGTAATTTGGTCAGAGGTTCAAATCCAGCGAATGGGCTGGCTTCATACGATTTTTTGTGGGTTTTTCCCATGTGCATATGATTTAGTTTCCCTTAGAATGTTCTCAACAAAGGCATCCCACCCCTTAGGCAGATAACACTCGGCTTTGCCATAATCAAATAAACCAAATATACTTTTACATATTCCAGTTATTATCCCAGGAAATGATTAGATTTGGATATTTGAATATGGCAAAGGACTTTAGGGCTATCTGCATAATAGGAGAGATGCCTTCATAATTGATTTTCAAGTGAAAAACTTGCTCTTATTCATATTACACAGAGGAAAACCACAAAACCCAACCATGCAATAAGCTCATTCACCTGGACTTAAAACTACCAGGTTCAGCTGTCTTTAAACACTCAGCTGTAGGCCTTTCAGAAGAACCTCTTAATACATTCAATTAAGTTCACTTACAGATTATTAGAATGGTTAAAAAATTCTTAACCAATTTATATATATTCTCAATACCTCCTGCCTAATAAATGTCTCCTAAATTACATGCATTTCCTTATTTCAAGAGCTTTTCATAACTTAGTCATACTTGCAATGGGATTTCAACCTGTCACACACTTACAATAATGCCCAGTTCAAGTTATTACTACTATTTTTATGCATGGTTAATAAATATCCATGCTAATTCTTCTGAAAAGTTAATTTTTATGAATTAATCTGCAAGAGTTATGAAAAACATGAAAATCTTAAATCATTCAAAATTAAAATATAATCTTAAGATACATTCTTTAAATTTACAAAGTAAAATTAGACATTTATAATATATAGCTTTACAATCAGTTTAGCAAAAGGTTCTCGAGGAAGATATACGAGGAAATGAAAAAATAAGCTTATTTTCAAATATGCATTACAGAAATTATAAATCAAGACTTAAAAATTTTTTTAGTTGTTACCTGTATAATGACTTTGAGTCAAAATTGAAGATATATGAGGAAAATTTGCTTGCGAAGGAAAGTGCTGAAATGGAGGTATACCACATAGCGTTCCAAAGGGTTGTCCAAATGATAGAGAATATGGGGATATAGGTGGGGAATGCTATGGAAATTTACAACACTTATTTTAATGTTCAAAAACAAAACATATTTATAAAGCTTGATTTATTGTACATAGATATTTAAAGTTATTAATTGCTTAAAATTTATTTCCAGCAAAAATAAAATTGATAGTGCAAAATTTGATGTGCACTTATGCGATATATGAAGCTATATCATTTGTTAATCAACATACAAAATCATACCACAAAATACATGAAAGCAATTCAACTAGATTTAACAATGCAATATGTTTTTACTTTGAAATAACAGAAGATATTTTACTCAGAAAATATTTACTCTGATTTACTTATTCAAAAATCCATAAACAAGATCTAAAAGCTTAATATTAAATTTCATTCAAGGTGATTTCTTTGAAATTTAAATCAGCTTGTATTTCAAGAATTCTACAAATCCAATCTAATGAACATTTCTGCCCCAATATCATCTTCCAAAACCAAAGAAAGCTTATATTTTCAAACTCAAAGCTGACATAAAATGTTTCTAAAGTTCAATACAAACATGAATTATAACAAAAAATTGGAATTCTTGGCACAGAAATCCAATCTTGGAAAAACATCAGTTTTTTTAGGGAACATGGATTCTAATAAAACAATGCGTCCTTCCCTAGCTGCAATACATTGGTGGCAGCAATGTTCCATGATGTCAATTAAATTGTCGGTCAGTGAAATGGGAAGCAATGACCAGATACGAAGTAATCCTTGTTTGAGATCATATAACGACCTTGGAGGAGGACTTAAAGCAGCATCACGTCTCCCAAGGTAGTCCCAAATATGCTTTATCAGATTCTGGTCTGGAGATTCAGCTGGCCATTCCCTCTGCTCCATAAGGTGACCCTCAAGATATTCTTCAGCAACCTGAGCTCGGTGTGGTCACACATTGTCATCCATCAGAAGAAGTCCAGCACAGCAGCATATGGGCAGACATATTGATCAAGGATCTCATCTTGACATCTCACATCAGTCAAAGTTTCTCCATGAAACACATGCAGGTCAGTATGACCAGAGAGAGATCCCAGCCCAAAACGTCATTCCACCACCTCTGTAACTGTCTTTCCACAATGTGGGATTAATTTCATCTGGTGAGTTGTTCCTTCCAGATCAGCAGACTACCTGAATCACTCTCCTATGTAATCTGGACTCGTCTGTGAAGAGAACAAACACCCATTATTGACTGGTCCTGGAAACGTGTTCTCTTGTCCAACATTAAACGGGAACCTCTGTGTCTTCAGGTCAAGGGGACACAAACAACTAGTTGTCTTACATACAAACCTACATTGTACAGGCATCTGCACACTGTAATAGCTGCCCACAAAACTGTAATAATTGAAGATCAACCCTCGTGAAGAAAAATTGTAATTTTTGCATTTCTCTCCAATTCCTACATGAGTATTCATTTTTATAAAATAAAATTTGTACTTTGTTACTGTCATGCATATAAACTGTGAATTGAAATGTTGCTGACATTTTTGTATTGGTGAGCTTTAAAAAACATGCTGTTTCTTAACTTTTAAAAGAGAGTGTATATTGAATTTTATAGTTTTTCATGAATTCGTACAACTTTAAAATGAACATATTTCAGTATTAAAAATATTAAATATAGAAATAAATCCAGAATTGAACATTTTACTATAGAATTCTAAAAATTTTCAATAAAGGATATATAGGAAGTTATTTAAGAAGCAGTACAAGTATGTATAACATTTAATGTTTTCTGTAAAGAAAAGAATTATTAAATATATGCATTTTGAGCCTATAGAAAATTTCATTATTACAGTCAAAAGTCGTTAATTCGGACACCCATAATCCGGAATGATCTATAATCCGGCCATCAAAGCTAAAAACTTTCTGCGCATGCACCGCGTTGACACATGCGCATAGGCGTTTACGCGTGCGCGTAAGACCTTTTACGTCTGCGCATATGCGTGTGCGCAAGCGCAGAATACGTTTTCGCGTGCGCGTTTTATGTATAACGGACGGTATATGCTAAAATTATCCAATTATCTATTTCAGTTAATGTTGATGATTGCGTTGTTCCTTAATTTTCGAACTGGACCCGGCTTATTTTTTGCAGACTGTAAGAACAATACTATAAAAGTAAACTTGAACTTTCGATTATGTCAAATAGAATTTCCGATTCTGGAGCTCCCAAAGGATCGTACAAAATGAAAGTATGTTTCCATGTCCATCAAACAAAAAGTGGAATTGCTGCAAAAAATGGATAAAGACATGAAGAATATGACAGAGAGGTTAGTGACAACGAAAAAATTTCGATTGACAAGTTAGTCGGTATTCTCGGCACAGCAATTAACGGGACTTGAACAGCGGAACTTTGTAACTGAACAAGGAAATTATGTCTGTTATAGAATTAAAGAGAAAGTATTATCACATAAAACGAAGCAAATTAAACAACTTACATTGAAAGAAATGTTTAATAAAGTAAACAAATAAATATTAAGCTCTTTTTGTAAATTTTGATACCCTTTAGATCATAATTGTTCTTTATTTCATAAATTACGGTTTCATATTTTTAATTTTATAATTTCTGCATGCCATCTTACGAGATTTAAACTGATGATCTATAATCCGGAATCGCCGAAGTCCCGACAAGTCCGGATTAACGACTTTTGACTGTATTACAATTTGAAAGATATGATATCCATAATTTGTTGAAATACAGAATACTGGAATGTCTTAACATTTTACCGACCACTAGCGGTTCAACAGCATATGCACGTCTGTCTGGCTTCAGATTCTCCCTAATAATAAAATGCAGATGATATAGCAAAGGGCAATTGTTTATTGCCATGGCTACCAATTGGTAGGCTATTTTTAGATAGCCCAGAAAAAAAAAAAAAAAAAAAAAAATAAAGTAAATAGGCTATAGGTCGGTAGTCGTTGGTGAAAAAAAGCAGATTAATAGGCTATCGGTCTGTAGGCATTTGGCGTAAAAAGCCGATTAATAGGCTATCGGTCTGTAGGCATTGGCGTAAAAAAGCCGATTAATAGGCTATCGGTCTGTAGGCATTGGCGTAAAAAAGCCGATTAATAGGCTATCGGTCTGTAGGCATTGGCGTAAAAAAGCCGATTAATAGGCTATCGGTCTGTAGGCATTGGCGTAAAAAAGCCGATTAATAGGCTATCGGTCTGTAGGCATTGGCGTAAAAAAGCCGATTAATAGGCTATCGGTCTGTAGGCATTGGCGTAAAAAAGCAGATTAATAGGCTATCGGTCTGTAGGCATTGGCGTAAAAAAGCAGATTAATAGGCTATCGGTCTGTAGGCATTGGCGTAAAAAAGCAGATTAATAGCTATGTAGCATTGGCGTAAAAAAGCAGATTATAGGCTATAGGTCTGTAGGCATTGGCGTAAAAAGCAGCGATTAATAGGCTATCGGTCTGTAGGCATTGGCGTAAAAAAGCAGATTAATAGGCTATCGGTCTGTAGGCATTGGCGTAAAAAAGCAGATTAATAGGCTATCGGTCTGTAGGCATTGGCGTAAAAAAGCAGATTAATAGGCTATCGGTCTGTAGGCATTGGCGTAAAAAAGCAGATTAATAGGCTATCGGTCTGTAGGCATTGGCGTAAAAAAGCAGATTAATAGGCTATCGGTCTGTAGGCATTGGCGTAAAAAAGCAGATTAATAGGCGATTAGTCAGTAAAGTGTTAAAATCAAATTTGAAAAGTAGAATTAGATAAAATATTAATGTTAAAAAGTAAATTTTATAGCTTAGTCTCCCTAGCTAAATTTAAAAAGTAAGCATTCTAAGGATACATTTCCCCTTTACTAATTAAAAAATACCAAAAAAAGCTTCTAGAAATTGAAACTAAATAGGCAATAAAAATTAAGAAATATAGCTTTAAAATAATACTGATTGATAAATTTGTGAATATTTATGGACAAATAAGTAAATTTAATTTATTGTAAAAATTATTTTATTTAATGATTGCAGTAAAATGTACAAGTATCAGACTTGGAAAGGATACTAGCCTGTATTCACGTTACACAGGAAGAAACATGGAAATATTATATACAGGGGTTTGTATATATTTCTGCATACTGAAATTAAGTACTTTTAAGGACCATTAATGAAAAATTAAGGACCTACGAGTGAATGGGAACTGAATAAATTCAATTAAAAATATAATTTATGCCTGAACTTCACTTTTGTAATTTCATCCTAAAACAAAATAGATAAGTAGGATGCATTGTTATTAAACATGACTTAATTAACATAATTATTAAGTCTGAAGATAATATATATGAAATTTATCAAGGAGCATTATATATTTTACACTTATAAGAATTGAACATATTTGAAAGGAGATAAGCGACATTTTATTTACGTTTTACTAACAGTTTTATGTTGATTTTATTTTATATCTCATTTTGTCACATACTTGCTCAGTCTAGAGCTTTAGTAAATAGTAAGCAGATCTTATGTCAAGCGGCATAGGTTAAAATGAGAACTAAAATCATAATCAGCATGATTCACAACAAAAGCATGGCTGTTGTCACTGCTGCTGCTTACCTAGAGAAAGACCTACTAATCAGAACAAACCTGAAAGGCCTGATGTAGGCACTGTTGGCAAATTTTGAAAGTTAGCTGGGCTCTGTCCGACACCATTAGTGCCGTAGCTTCGTGTAGAATTCTAGGGGTTTGCGACTCGGTTAATACACATTAAGGTTCTAATAACCAGAGGTGATAAGTTGTTTTGCATTATTTTAAGTCTCGCTAGATGCGAAGACTAAGTTTTACATGAATTTTTACGTTTTATCTTGTGGCTACGATAAGGGTTAATGAAAGGCAATAACTTGCTTTAATATGCAGAGATAATTTTTAAGGGCAAGCAGTTAGTTATAAGTAATTAAATTAGGTATAAGATAGCCTTAGTCATTACGGATTTACATGGCCACTATTAAATTAAATTTATTTTTTAATAATATTTGTTAAAAAAGGCCCTATTAAAATCCCAATCTAATA